ATAATCGTCACCCCTTTGGGCGCCCGTACCCCTTATTACTTAGTTATATGTATTTTTATATTATTTGATTGGGTTGTTACAATAGTAGGGCGGTGCTATACTTGGCCCGTCAGTAAACCGAAAGTCGCGCCTTTTTATTACTATATATTGGTCACCTCATCTCCCAACACCTCACAAGTCGTCGCCGCCAACCGCCATACTCGCAGGAGCGGCGTCGGCGCAAACAATTATAAAGTAAGCAAAATTTATTAATTATTAATATCTATAAATGCTATTGACCTGTGAAACAGGAGTTTCAATACTTTTTCTGGGTGTTATATGTTTTTGTAAAAATAACATGCTATTGTAATACCACAGTGATGGGACATAAATCTGAAAATACAAAATTGTATAAAGTATTTTTAATAATAATAGATATTCTATTACAATATTAATACATACAAAATATTATAAAAAAATAGATATTTTTTGCTTTATTTGAATTACCAATCTATACATATTTTGTATAATAAGCTTAAGTGGTTACATTAATAAAAAAGTTACCTTTGAAAGTCAGAAGATATGTTGGGGAAGCCGCCCACATAAACATAAAAATACATGATTATAAAATGCACATTGTACTTACATCATCAGTACCAGTACCGCTCTTCGATGAGGTCTTTACTTTATTGTGTTCTACTCCAAATTGAGTTCTTAGCGCTGCAATTTTTACCTTCACTTCTTGCCATGTTGTGTTAGGCCTGTATGGTTGTAGTGTTAACGCAATATCCTCCAAGGCTTTTTGCCGAATATGCTTATTGTGGTATACTGGAAGTTTAGTATCATATAAACAATTACTTTGGCTATACATTTCAATTAGTGTAGATATTGATTGGTTGGACCAAGGCGATCCTATTTTTGGTGCCATATTTTATTTTATTTATTAGTTAAAAAACAAAATGTGCTAGGTGGTAAAATTTTTAGAATATTTAATATGTAATTTATGTAATTTGTATAATATTGTGTTGATCTCGATCGTGATAACGATTTTGATTGATAACATGTCTGTATTCTGATTGGCGGACAATATTTCTATGCTGGTAAATAGAGTGGAAAATAGGACATGTTCTATTACCAAAAATTGTACAGTAGCTAGTATGATTCATTTAACTAGTATACTATATTATAATTCACACGGACCTAAAAACTAGTATACAAGCTACCACACTAGAGATAGCACAATAACTTACTAGTATCGTGTGAAACGGGCTTTATTTATAATCGATGATTATAATCAAAAAGTCGAACAACAAAATAATATGTCGAGTAGTAACGTACGAACAGTAAAGCGACTGTGTTTATTATAGCCACTACGTATCGTCTTTTTTCTTTAAATTTTGTGAGTTGGTGCATTGTTTTTTTTTTTAAAATGCCAAAGAGGAGATGTACGTTCACTGTATCTTTACAGTCTGAATTTACTTTTCTAAAAAATAGTGAAGAAATTGGAAAAGTGTTTTGTACGGTGTGCAAGGCGGTATTTTCAATCGAACATGGAGGACGCTCAGATATCAAACAGCATATGGAAAAGAAAAAACATAGGTCGGCCTTATCTAGTGCTTCAAAAAGTGACAAGGTAACTTCATATTTTACTAAACAAGGACCAGCTGGCTTAACTAGTGAAGGGTTAAAAATTGCAGCAGAAGAGGGAATGTTTGCATTTCACACTATAGTACATAACCATTCTTTTAGGTCAATGGATTGTACTACTACTTTAATAAAAAAGTTACATGAAAAAAAGTTTTCTTGTGCGCGTACCAAGTGTGAATCAATTATTTTGAATGTATTGGCTCCTTTTGCAATGGATCAAATTATAGACGAACTAAAGGCTGTTAATTTTGCGACAATTATGATTGACACTTCAAATCATAAGAATTTAAAAATAGTCCCCATTCTTATTCGATATTTTGATCCTAAAACGGGAGTTCAAATAAAAGTGTTAGAATTCACAAATTTGAAAGGAGAAACTTCAGATATATTGTCATCTTATATTATGGAAATTTTAACAAAATATCAGTTATCTCACAAAATTATTGCATTTACCGGTGACAACTGTAATACCAATTTTGGAGGTGCTGCAAGGAGGGGAACAAAAAATGTTTTTACGATTTTGAACAATAATTTAAGGACTAACATTTCTGGAATTGGTTGTGCAGCTCATATTCTGCATAACGCTATGCAAATACTAGTACAGATATCTTACCTATTGATATCGAATGTATCGTTAACAAGATATTTCAATACTTTTATATTTATACTGTGAGAGTGGAAGCATTAAAAGAATTTTGTGATTTTACAAATACACAATACAAAAACGTACTTGGAAGTGTAAAGACAAGATGGCTATCCTTACAACCAGCAGTCTCTAGAATTATTGAAATGTATCCAGCTTTAAAATTGTACTTTGACACTCAGGATAAATGCCCAACCATTTTAAAATCATTTTTTAGTGACCCCGTTGCAATAATATGGTTTCATTTTATACAAAGTCAATTAAAAGTCGTTTGTGACACTATAAAAAGAATAGAAGGGGACAACATATCTGCATGTGAAGTATCAGAAGAGTTAGAAATATTATGTGGAAAAATAAAAAATAGAAAAACACAAAACTTTTTAACTTCCAGTGTAAATTCGATGCTTTTAGAACTAGAAACAAAAAATAAATACACAAAAAAACAATTTATAGAGCAAACTATCCAGTTTTATGACACATTTTTGTTGTATATTGAAAAGTGGGGAAATTCATTTGAAGAACTAAAAATATTTCGTTGGACTCAACTGATAAATTGTCCAACATGGAATGATGTTCAAAAAAGTTTAACATTTATTTTACAAAATAATAAAAAACAAACCGGTTGGAATGTGGATGAAGATATTCTTTTTGATGAATATAATCATGTAGTTAATGTTATAAATGAAAATTTAAAAGAATGGCAGAATAATTATGTTCGTGTTGAAGAAAGATGGTGTGCTATCTATAAAATTTTAAATAGTAAAAGTATATTGATAAATAATTTGTGGAAGATTGTAGAATATTCTCTTGCAATGCCTGGAACAAATGCTGCAATTGAAAGAGTATTTTCTATCACTAATGTGTTATGGACGGACGAAAAAAATCGCTTTCTCGTTCCTACCATCAAATCAATTATAATTCTGAAAAATCATTTCAAAAAATATTCGTGTAATGATTTTTATGATTTTTTGTTAACACAACCAAAACTATTAAACGCAATTAGTTCATCGCAAAAGTACAGTAACGGCACTGCAATAGATAATAAAGAACATGATGAGCAATCGACATCAACTCAATAAAAAATAACAGGTGTTTTTTTGTTAAAATATTATACAAAGTTAATTGTAACTATAAAATATAAAAAATATTTTTAAAAATGTGTATGTTTTTTTAGAGTATTTAAACAAAAAATTGCTTGTCCCGTTTTTTTTTTTTGTAAAAATGGTCACCCTA